ACAGCCTGGCTGTGTGTGTGTGTGTGTGTGTGTGTGTGTGTGTGTGTGTGTGTGTGTGTGTGTGTGTGTGTGTGTGTGTGTGTGTGTGTGTTGCGTCCAGGTTCAGACGCGAAACATCCGCTGTCTTCCCGACGTCCTCGTCATCAACTGTGAGGTGAACAGCGCCAAGGAGGCCGAGTTCTGGAAGGTGCAGGCGGAGGTACAAACATCATCTCTGTTTTTATTTATTCATATTTTTACTTTCTCAGATTCAGTTTTAATGTACAGACACGTTCACTTTTTATTCAACAGTGTTTTTTTAAACGTATAGAGAGAAAACAATAAAGAAAATAGTACAAGATAGAAAAAAGAAAATCCCAAAATGATAAATATATGAAAAGATAAAAACATTAATGCAATTAAATAACAATTATTTAAAAAATCAGTTTGAATGAAATGCTGACTTTTTAAACGTAACAGTAATCTGTGTTCAGTTTGAATCCAAACTAATGTGTGTGTTCTCTTGCCTCCACAGTACGCCTTCAACAAGGCGAAGCAGAAGGAGAAGGAGAAGCAGGCGATGGAGCCTCCGAAGCCCAAAGAGCCGCCTCCGCCCATGCCCACCGAGTGGTGCTTAGAGTGAGACCTGGGTCATCTGTTACTGGGGGGGGGTTCAGAGTGAAACACACCGTGACACCACAGGGGGGAGTTTGTCCTTCAACACCAGAGCAGCACGTCTCTATGTTTCAGAGGAAATCATTTTCACATTTGGCAAAAACTAATAATTGAACATATAATGGAAATCAATTATGGTTCTAAAGATTTTGTCTGACTATTTAATTGACTTTTACTAATTACCTAATTGTTTACACAGGTCTGGCCTTCATTGACCCACATGTGATTGTTCTTGTACAGCAACAGGCTATCAGGCATTGCAAATTATTTACAAATAAAAACAGTGAAAGCATAGAGCGGTGCAGGGAGCACGTATTCACCCTGAAGGAAGCTGCTGGTTCCCTCGAGAAACAGCAACAGGATTTCTCCAGAGGATTTTGGAATATTGTAAAAAAAATAAGGTCTGTGGAAAACCAACCTGTTTGATAAATGCACGTTTTGTTCAACCGGATAATCTCCACTGTTTACTTTTATAATGTTCTAATCATAAATCTAATGTCCAGAAGCTAAATGCTAACGTGATGCTATAAAGGAACTACAGCCGAGTCCAGCAGCACGACTTCAACGTCACGCCAACTTCAGATCCATATTCAAACACACAGATTCTAGATGGTTCGAGTTGAAGCGTTTGTTTGAACAGTCTGCAGGAGGCAGGGACTTGCTCTCAAGCAGAACAGAAACTAACTTAGAGGAGTGTTTACGTGTTCGGCGTAATGACGTACAACGTCCTCCATGACTTCTGTAGTCCTATTCAGCCACTTGGTAACAACCATCGTTTCTCAGACACGTCCACTCTTCAGAAATCACCAGTGGGGTCACTGCTGATGATTTAATGTCATAGAACAAAACGTGATCCGTCTCTTCAATGTGTCTCAACCACAGACCTTATTTCAGATACTTTCCTAAACCCTACGGAGAGATCCCATTGGCTCTGAGACGAGGGGACAGGAAGTGGAGAAATGCTAACTCACTTCACTTGGGACTCGTCACTGCACCACTCTATACATAGCATATAACAGTAGAAGGATATATATTATAAGCGCTTTGAGAACCAGGAAAAGCGCATATATAAATAAAATGTATTATTATTATTATTAGAAGCAAAATATAAAGCAATAAGTTCAAATACACTAAACAACACTACAGAAACCAAAGACAATGTAAAATATACACAATATACGTTTGTCTGCAAAGAAGTTGCATTTCTTTTCAATAATTGAAATGTAAACACGTGACTGAATGTCCCCTGGTGAGCAGCGGGGAGGACCCGAGCAGCATGGCGGGATTCACCTTCGACACCAAGGCCGAAGACCTGAGACACGTCTGGATCCCTCAGAGCCTCAAGATGCAGATCAGCAAAACCCAGGGGTTAGAGGTCAGCAGCTGGCCGGAGGGAGAGGAGGTAACACAAGCATTCATTTGGTTTATTTGATTTATTGTATTGATATTATTTTTGGTGTTGGTTCTTTGTACGTTGTGTCTGTTGTTAACGATGTACAAGCAGCTAACGAGTC